CCTGGAGTCGGTTCCCCATGACAACCTCCACTCCTGGAGTCGGTTCCTCATGACAACCTCCAGACTGGGAGTTGCCTCCAACGTTCCTATCTGAGTAAGTTTTAAAAGTTCTTTAAAAGTTCTTTAAAAGTTAAAAATGATTAAAAAACAAAAGAAATAAAAATGGATAGAGTGGATGAGCTCCGACACGGGAACCCCACTCTGCTGCCATATTGGAAAATGTTGGAGATATGGAGAATGATTCTTTAACCGCACGTATCACAGCACACTAACACTCACACCCAGGCTGGTAAAACCAGAGTGTTCACTTTCATCAGTCCACTCCAGTGAAGTTGAAACTGGCTCTTTAACACTGTCTTATGTATGCCTCAAAATTATGTACTTGCAGTTTGACACATAATCTGCAGAGTGGGTTGCTGTTAAGCGGAGGACAGTTACCCCTTGGTTATCTTTGTAGTCACAAGTGATCACAGTCCAGTCTGTTTGCAGTTGCTTTGACACCTTTAGGCAGCACATGGCAGATTTTTTTTACAACACATAACAGTCGTTACATGGTCACCATTAGACTAGCTCCTTATTTGAGAGTTTTGTTTAATTCATATTTCATCATCTGACATGGTGGAATTCAAACCCATGTCCCCAGAACATTCATGGTGTCTCTGAATTACTACTACCAGTGACATTTACGCTATACCATCATGACCTTGGAGATCATGGGCAGATTTTTGTGGGGTCAAGACATTAGTTAGAATTCCCCAGCCTGCTCGCGTAACCACAGCATTTATATAACTAATAGTTCTCACCCAGGATGCTGATAGTGGGAAATTCAGTGATGTTTATGCTGTTAAACAAAAAAAGGAGATGGTTAGATTCTCTCTTGTTGAAGAATTTCATTGACTGGCACTTTTTTTTATCATGGATATTAATTGCCACACACTAGTCCGTGCCTGAACATTTTCCAGTCTTTCTGTAGACAGGTACACCATGCTGACGTGTTTGAGAAGTTGCGAATGCCCTGGACACGGTGTAATTATTAGCAAGCATTCCCTCAGCTGACTTTATGATGAAGGGAAGGTCATTGAAGAAACAGCTGAGGCTGGTTGGGTCTAGGATGCTATCCTGAAGTGCTAGGACTTTCATGGCAAAATGTAGTGTCTCTGCCCCTAGACTAGGAGACATGGGTTCAAGTCCCTGCCCCACCTATATAATAGCAGCTCTGAACGGGTTGATTAGGAAAAAATCTATGCTGAGGAATTCCTGCTGCCAGGTCTCGAACTGTGGTGAGTGGCCTCCAACAACCATGACTATCTTACTTTTTGCTAAGTATGACTCCTATGAGGGTGTATTCCCATTGATTTCAATTTGCTGGGCCTTCTTGATGCCGCTGTCAGTTCAACGTTGCTTTGATTTCAAGGCAGCCACTCTGAGCTCACCTCCGGAATTCAGCTCTTTTGTCCATGTTTAGATCAAAGCTGAAATGATGTCTGAAGGTGAGGGTACTTGGTGAAGTCCAGACTGAGTTTTGGTAATACATTCTACCACTTTTCTCAGGATAGACTGATGAAGCAGCAATATGAGCCAGATTGAATTTGTCTTCTCGTTTTCTTGTCAGTACATAACAATTCAACATTATCACATGCTAAGTCCTTTAGCTGTACTGAAACAGTGTGGTTATGGGTGTGGCTGGTACTGGAGCACAAGATGTCAGTGCTATAGCTGCAATATTGTCAGACCCATAGTTTTTGCTGTAGCCAATGCATTTAATCACTTTTTGATCTCATATCGTATGAATCAAATTAGCTGACACTGGCATCTCTGCACTTGGGCATCTCAAGAGGAGGCCAAAATGGATCATTGACTAATTTGAACATTTCAATCTTCTTGTTGTTATTATTACTTATAAAGAAAGATAGCAGTTTAACTGCATTTCTACCACTTGGTGAACAGAAGTCTGAGTGATAAAACTGTTGTCTTTGATCATGTCATTGGCCAATAATACAGAATACACATTAAGTATTTTCAGTGGTTATTATCTGTGCAGAATTTGCCCATTGATTTGTATATAATGGAGGAAACAACAAAGTTACTTAGTTAGGTTTAGCTAGTAGTGCTAACCTAGAGAATTGCTGAAAAGGAAGACAAGTTAATGAAGGTTTTCATCTTGTGTACATCAGGACAAACCCAGCAGCACCAAATTCCAAATAGCTACAAACATTTATATTGCAGGAGAAAAGGGTTGGCAAGTTGACTCTGAATTTGCCACTGTATTGCCACGGAGAAAGTAACGGGGAATTCTATATTCATTTTTAGAATTGCCCGAGAACTGGAAGACTGTTGAGATTCAGAAACCTGTGCTAACACCCCTTTACCAGCACTATTCTCTCATGTTATTTCTTCTCTCAGAATGGATATGGCTATTAATATCAATACAAATTAATACAGTGATAAACCAAATAAAACTAAATACATAGAATGATTCAACTTTACATAGGCTAAAGCACCACTTATAAATTGTTTACAAGGCTAAAAGT